GAGAATCAGTAATTAAAATGTGCGAAAACAGCCTTGCGACCTCTAAGATGTTAAGCAATGTCTCCTTATCCATTTATGAAAAAGAGCTTTAGTACCACGTACTAACACCAATGACTTACGGTCATGAACTGGAACCCATATTCTTGATTATAATAGTTCTGAAAACACAGAAGTAACTGGAAAATGTATCCAGTTTAATGTCTCTGTAGAATTCATACTACAAATTATTATATATACTTTAAGTGATGGCAATCATCTTATTTTTCTGCTTCATATTTTATGATTGTCTGTTGTATAGAAGTTTATGAAAGGTTTAAACATAAGTGAAAGGAAAAAAACCCACCAGGATTCCAAGGTAAAACATCACTGGAGGTGTTCAAATGCTAGATGACATCTTAGAAGACACACTGTAGACATGATTCAAGTATGGGACAAGTGGTTAGAAAAAATGACCACTAAATTCTCTTCTAACTCCGATTTATAATTCTAGACTCAAAAGATAAACTTGAGACGTGGTACTGAATAAAAGGGCTTTGGTTCTGAAGTTATATCCAGGTTTGAATTTCAACTTTATCATTTTTAAGACGACTTCAGACAAGTTACTTAGCCTCTCCAAGAACAAATTATAGGTACTGGGATTCAGTGAGATAATGCATTAGTATCTGGCACATGATAAATACTTACTATGTTACCTACATAACTTTTATTAGTAATTTATAGTGGCCAAAATCTAAATATCATGAAATACAAAAGAAACATCAACTTAGGAGTCAGATTATCTGGTTTTTACATTTGATCCTTGCCTCTAAATGTATACAATAATTTTTAATATTCTTTTTTTCAGATACCAAATTTTGTGATGCCACATTCCAGAGCGATTTGTTTTGCTTTGTTTTGTTTTGGTTTTTGAGTTGGAGTCTCACTCTGTCACCCAGACTGGAGTGCAGTGGCCGCTCCCAGCCACCGCAGCCTCGACCTGCTGGGCTCGATCCTTCTGCCTCAGCCTTATAAGTAGCCAGAATTACAGGCATGCGCTACCACGCCCGGCTGATTTTTGATTTATTGTAGAGATGAGGTCTCGCCAAGTTGCCCAGGCGGGCCTCCAACCCTTGGGCTCAGGCAATCCACTCACCTCAGCCTCCCAAAGTGCTGGGATTACAGGCTGAGCCACCGAGCCCAGCTGTCCAAAGAGATTTTAATGGACTTTAACACTTATCAGATGCTGGAGATATAATGCAAAGAAACATCATCTCATAGTTTACGGTTAGTGTAGGAGATATACAAGTTACAGGTGTGATTAAGTGCTAAGAAAGGAAGGCCTTAAAAGTTGTTTTGGGGGCACATAATCAAGATCCCGGGTCAGGAAAGAATGTTTAGTAGAGGAACTGCCATAGTTGAGTGGAGAATAAAAAGATATACATATACAAAAAATATTCCAAGTAAAAAGAACAGTAGGTACAGTCATTCATATTAGAAAATCAAATTACAAAGAAGAGTTAAAAGTTTATTGTATTTTCACATAAGAAAGAATAGTGCCCTGAACAGGGACACAAGAGATGGAAAGGCTGAAGAAACACTCACATGGCAGACATGGCAGTACTTTGTGATTAACTGGCTATGAGAGATCAGGAAAGTTTGAACGTAAGGAAAGACGCTTAGGCTGGAGGTAACAGATCTGAGTGCCTTAGAGCACATTAGGTGGCTTCCTACAGCATAAAGATGACATGCAAAGCCATCTATATGCTCTTAGCATAATGAAGAATCTGAGAAGATGGTCTGGACAGCAATCCTGAGGACTCTAGTAATATTTAAAAGGACAGAGAGAGAACAGAAAGCCTGATAAGGGGTCTGAGTAGAAACAGCCAGCAAGGGAGAAAAAAAAACAAAACCAAAAAAACAGGACAGAATGGTTATCACACAAGTCAAAACATGAAATTATCAGTCCAAAATTCAAACCTATCACATATCAGTATTAGCTTTAGTTTTTAGTTAAATAGTTTAAGAACTATTGAGAAACTACTTATCCACCATGATTGCAATGATTAACACCATTAATATATGTATAACCAGTCTAAAAGGTAATATGCAAACATAAAGACAGTAATTGTGTTAAATACTTGGACTAGATGTGTTCTTATTTTATTTTCCAAACTTTCCACAGGTTCAACTTTGAAAAGGCAAATACATTACTACTAAAGAAATTGGAATACAAGTATATTATCAAAAAGGAGACTTTTAGATAAGAGGCTCACATTCTGATGTGAGTTGTCTGCTGTCAAGTTGTTTGTATTTTAACCAAGGTGCTGTAGAAATAACATTTACACTTGATCTGCTGACTATTTCAATATCACTGATGAGTAAGCAAATTCTTGTGGTTTTTAACTTATTTTTGTTTTAAGCAGTATTATTATTGTGGCATTTAACTTTAAGCCATATTTAGACACAAAGAACTTCATTATAAATACTTAAGTAAAGGAAAAAGGTTACAAGGTTTGGAGCTCATCTGAGAGTAAAATTAAACAAAAAAGATATGCATAAAGTGGGTGCTAGATTTTTTAAAAACCACGTATCAAAAAAAATTTTTTTTTGGTCTGATAAATGCCTTAAAAGTAGTTACAAAAGAGGTTTCTCAATAGACTTATTTACAATTAAGAGCAAAATGGGAAACTCTCATATAGCATTTATTACATGCAATATATTTCACTATCCCAATAAATATTTGTAGCTCAAAGCAGTCTTTTTTTTTTTTTTTTTTTTTAAGTAGAGACAAAGTCTCATTATGTTGCCCATGCTGGTCTTGAAGTCCTGGGTTCAAGTAACTTTCCCACCTGGGCCTCCCAAAGTGCTAGCATTACAGGCATGAGGCATGGTACCCGGATTCAGAGCAGCTTTTTAAATTGTCTTGTAGTATTTGCTATTTATACACCCTAAGTGTTAAAGGATGAGTTATTACTCTCAATATATAGAACTATTCTAAATACTAAGAACTTTTCTAAAAAACAACAAAAAACCACATTTGCTTATAACTTTAAGTATTAAATTTGAATAGCATTTTCTAATATAATTAATACTTATTCTTAGACATTACATTATTTCTAGTGTAATTAACACTTACTCTTAGACAGTAAGAACTTTCGATATTTATTTTTTGGCAAATGCTTTAAAAGATAGGGTTGTCTGCACACCAGCATACCCATTAAGCTCAGGTGACAGAACACAAAAACAAAACTTGAATCCTAGCTCCACCACTAAATGACTATGTGACTTGAGCAAGTTACCAAACTCCTCTAGGCTTTCAGTTCCCTTCTCTGTAAATTGAGGATATTAATAACATCTATATGACTGTTGTAAAAATTAAATGAGATAATATGCCAAAAATATTTAGCACAGTGCCTGACACACAGTAACTACTCAGTAGCCAAAGTACAACTACTCTGCAGAGAAATTCAATCAATACTTGCACACAGAGATTGACTAAGAAATTCCTAAACTAACTGTGGCTAGGCCCTGATTTGTCCCATCAGTCCAATGGGCATTTTTAATAACCTAGCCTTGCATAAGTATCAGTAAGAGTTACAGGGCCAATGTACTTGTAAAAATTTTCTTTACATACGTGTGTCTAATAAGACTTGTCCTTTAGACACAAAACAGTCACTAGCAAAGTTATTTGTTTTTGAAAATCTGACAAATGCTCTGAACCTTCTACAGAAAACAACACACAAAAAATTCTACCCCAAATTCCACAGGGTTCATGATCCCCTGAAGCCCAACCATGGACTACTAAATATGGATATCCTACACTAGAGAAATTAGAAATTATTTTCCTGATTACCAAAGTTATGTAAATTTATTATAGAAAACAGAAAAGTACATAGAATAAGAGATAACTGTTACTAATTTTTGTACTTCCTTCCAGACTACCATTGATCACAATTACTGGTTTAATAAACTTAAGCTTATGGAATATGATGAACCAAGTCATGGAAGACCATTATCAGAAACGATTTAAAATATTATTCAAAAGACAGAATGGGTATGAGTGTGTGTATGTAAGTGGAAAAAAAACCATGCCTCTGGTTAAGGATAAAGTTGGAAACAGATATAGTGGCCTTTTAAACTGATAGCAACCATATCTTCTGGCTTTTTTGGAATAATTTCAAATAACTTTTGATAGACTTGCAGGAAATATGTACCACATTTTAATGAAAATATTAATTCTATAACTGTATGACCTTGGATATAACTTTAACCCAGACTCCTTTTCTTTATCTACACAATCTGATCATCTTCAGATTGAAGATTCTTAAGATCTTATCCTGAGTTAAAATCTATTATTCTAAGAGCTCCTCCCTACAAAATACAGCTGTGTAAAACAAAGCAAAATAAAACAGTGCACAAAACAAGTTAAATTTACTTTTCTAAGCAGAATGCAATTCTGAAAGGAAATTAATTTTCAGAATATACAAAAAAGTATATTGACTTCTAATATATTATTTTCATATGATACAGGCATCCTAGGTTTTCTCAATGTAAGAACTGAGAAAATTTTCTTGGCTTTATTTTGGAGACATTTAGAAAAAAAGCCTTTTATTAAGAAAATAAAACCCCCAAAGCAATAAAATTGATTTGAACTGCATTTTTTTAGAAAATATTAATATATTATTTCTCAAATATCTCCTGATATAAGAACTAAAAGGTATTTAGAGCTTTTTACTATATTGTAAGCATCTACAGATGCAAAATCAATATTTAAGTAATCTTACTATAATACAGGATTCCACTCTCTTTTTAAAATTGATGTATTTACTAAACACCACTGCAAAGACTGGCCTTCAGCCTCATGAGACTTTGAAATACTCCAAATATTTCAAATTCCAAGTTTTAACTTATATTTAATACTATACTCTTAGTTATACAATGTGCTCATTTTGTTCATAAATAGTCATCTCAATACAATAACATCAGGTATAATACATAAAATCTAATCCATTAAGTCTTACCAATTTATGACCTGATGAGACACTCTTGTGGACAACATTCAGTCCTTAGAAGCTAGAATAACCCTCCAACCATGTGAGGGCATCACAACTTTTAAACTTTCGGCTTTCGATCATTATTATGTCACATTCCTCCTCCGATGCTGAATTCTAAAAAAAATTCTAGCAAAGAGTTTAAGTAAATAAGTGTTTTAATCAAATAGCCTTTAAAAATCTTTTATAGCAAAATTGTATGTTTCACCATGATTACACAACTGATATTTTGTACTTAAAAAAATGTAAGATAATTTCATATTTTATCTGGATACTTCAAACTTTAAATTTCAACATGGACTTTCAGGCCATCAGAAATATTTGTTAGTAAAGAGACATGTAGAAATGGAACCAATTAAAGGTTTAAGATCACAATCCAAAAATTATGATTTAACACCATAACCTGATATAGACAGTTTTGTAATCCTGTAGAATGGCATCTGAGTTCTACTGTTTGGTCCATATCCATATAGGAGTTTCTAGACTTATACAGCACAGGTGGCTGGATCAGTTAACAATCTATACCAATCACTGAAGAGCTTAAAGCAGAATTCAGTTTTTATGCCTAACGCTTAAGTCTGTCTTCACTACCCCCTGATTTGGAAAATAAACAAAATGATGGCAAGAATAAAATTTTATTATGTTTTTTGTGTAATAGACATAACAATGTGTCTTGTTCAGCAGTGTCCTTACTGTTCATCTGTGTGTGGGCATAGAAGAAAATTGGGGGTAGGGAGATTTATTAATGACAAATCACTTCATTAAAAATATGATCTTAAATTTATTAAATTTTTACCAGAAAGCTTTCAATTGGGCATCTATTTTAATCCCTGAAGAGTAATAACATTAATATTTTGTCTGATAAGAATGTATACTCATATTGTTAGTTGCCAGTAATTCACAGAAAAGGCAACCACTCATAGATTTGTAATCATGGTTTTACTTAAGTTAATCCCCTAAATAAAACGACATTAATGGGGCAAAGGAGAGGGAAAAGAAAAAGGCCCTTACTGAGGAAGATCAATATGTACAAAGCTATAGAAAACTCAAAGACAGCATTGTAAAGGAAACTCTGCAGCTATCTCAACAGATATTTGACCCAAATGTACAGGCAGGGTTATGCTGTTACAGATTTTAACTTTCAATGGAACTTTTCCATTACACACAGTCACTTAAAAGTCTCTCACGCAATCTGAAAAACTATCAGGATTTTTCCAATTCACAAATAAAACCTTTCCAAATGTAATCTCACAACACATTTGACTTCAGTGAAATCATACATCTTTACTTTGTTTTCTATCAAAATATAGCCTTATAATGTAATCACCTGGTGAAGGTAAAAATCCATATTTATGAGAACAAGAAGTAAGAGTTTAAAGTTGTGGTCATTTCATTAACATATTACCAAATGTTTTTAGAAAGTTTTAACATAACTCTCATCTCCTGGCAACCAAAATGCTACCATAATTTTTTAAATGTTTATTTTGATGATTTACCTTTTTGTGAGATAAATCCAAGGAGAAGACACAATACACAGTCATATTTAGTAAATACTTTCTGAGATATGTATCTATAATGCTGATAATCTGCTTGTCCGCAAGGCTTTGATGAGCTGATCATGAAAGACTGCTTGACCCTCTGTTAAAAGGGCCTGCCTACAAACAAGCATTGTTATGGTAAATGCCTGGAAAGCCTTTTTGGAGGACAAAATTTAAACCAGCCACATAAAGCAGCTGTTTTACTATGAAGTTTATGGAAAAAAAATTTTTAAGCGTGTATGCATTATACAAATGTATGGTAAATTGAGGACTTATGAGCCACACACATTTTAAGATACAAACTTCTATATCAAAATTTTCCCAAGCATGCATTTTCAAAATTGGTTGTTACCAAGTACAGGGATCTATTTGAAGAGTTTAAATCATTAAATTCTAACATTAAAAATCTGAAATAAAATTGGGTAACTCAAGTGCTCACAGATGAATAGAGTTAAGACTAATCAGATACCCTTTAAAATTAACTTAAAATTAGAATTTTTCCTAAAAATGAGTATTTAATTAGAAAGCTATACTAATATATCAATCATAATCTTGAATGGCAATACTGCTACCAAAACCAAATCCTGAACATTTCCTATAGTTATTTATCATTTCATTTTGTGAGGAGGAAAACTCATTTAACTGAGATTGTGTTACTAAAATTCTTATAGTACAGTCCAGCAAGAACTAGACTTAAGTTTACCATTATTTAGCCAGCTTTATTTTATGGAAAAATCTTTATTAATAGATAAAAATAGTGAACAGGGAGGCAAAAAGGTGTATGACTTGAAATTTCCAGGTAATATTTGAAAATTGATATTCTAAATTAAACAAGTTTACAAGTGTTCTTAAACTTGCTTTTTGAATGAATGTGGCTTAGCTTAATACAAGATTTCACTTTCTAAAAAAATTCTAAAACTTTTATAAGATTATTCACTAACTTAGCCATATTTTCACCCTGTTCAAAAAGGTTCACTACACTTTTTTGAAAAATCCTACCCATAATAAACCAATACTTGGGTCAGAAATGTTTATTTTTTAACAGATAAAGGGGGAAAATGGGGCAACCCTGTATGCCCTCCAAAAAGTATACATAGCCATTCCACAGATTATGCATTGGGAAATGAGCTTAGAAATATCAAAGATAAACTTATTTAAAAAATTAGCCCAAATGTACCTAACAGAATAAAACTGCTAGAAAGACAGTATGTTCCAAGAAATATAGAAAAAACACATAATACACAATTACTAGAAACCTTGTATATTTGGTTGATCCAAGATATAGTTTGAGACATAATCAGTTATGCTAAAAACTAATAGACATGCATATGAAAATACATATATAGTGTTTAGTATATTATATATCAAATGCACCTATTGGTAGAAGAAACAAAATACATATCTTAAAGAATTTCACTAATACAGCTTTGAAAAAGAAGCTATCTCTAAGAAGATAGGCTATTGGTATTTTTTAACATATGCTTATTCTCAAATGATTTATAAACTTCATCCTTTCAAAGGAGGTAGAAAGTTTATAAAAGATAGAAAATAAAATAAAAAGGTATTGAAATTAAAGGTGGGGGAGAAGATACAAATGGAAAATCAAAGTTAGGAGAGGCCATAATACTCAAATATATGTAATAAACACCTTCATGCTTTGTTAACAGAAAGCTGCATATCTGATTCTGAGCTTATTACTAACAGCCAACACAAAAGAGATATATTTAAGACATCATCATATATTATGCTTTTAAAAGAGCTGATAACTCGTTTCTTAAAACAAAAGTACCTAAAATAGAAACAGCTACTGTAAATGAGCACAAAAATTTTCTGAAGACCAATGAACAGAAAGAGTAGGATTAGCTAAAGACAGTATGTTCCAAACAACTCTTTTCCCTCCGTGTTCCCCTCCCAATAACGTATAGGACTAGGGAAAATATACCTTCTTATTACTAGGTTCATATGTACAAAGACGTTTCTGGTTTCTAGGATAAAGGTTACATATATTCTCAACACCTTGCTATCGCTAGAAAATACCTATTTGGTTGAAAATAAGATAAACAAATTTTAAAAAATAATAAAGAGATCTTGCCAGCAATTCCCATTTTTAAAACTGTTCTCAAATTTCACTCTGAAAAAAACTATCACAATCTCTCAGAGTAGGTTAGGGTAACAGAGGTTGAGAAATTTATTAAATAACTAAAGAGGAAGATGGTAAACATATGAATAGAAGCACATACAATGATGGGTGAGAAGTTAAACAACTTCCCATCACCAACTCTGAAGTCTGGTAATGTGTTGAAAATAGATGTCAGTATGTCAGGTGTCCCACATAGACTAGTCACAGAAAAGCTAAAAGAGAAGAAATGTATAGGATTCAGTGAAACACCATTTCAAACAATGAGATACAGATCTGTGGTTAAAAATCTGGCAGCAAACAGGCCACTTAATACAACTGTCAAAATAAAACTAAGAGGATACAATATAAAGGATAACAATACATCACCTGTAAACCTAAGTGGTGATGTAAAAATGTCTTCAAATTGTCTTTCCAACTCAAAATATTTTAAATTTCAACTTAATACATATGTTCATAAAAAACAGCATACACATATACCTCAATTTCTATTCTAAGGGACATACATTAATATCCAAATGTTCTCTCTTGCTTCCTCCACCCAAAACTTTGAGAAATAAAAGATTTTCCCTTATAAAAATTCCCCATCTCAGATGGATTTTAGGCAGTACTTCCTTGCCTCTCAATCCCCCAAATACACAATAACTAGGCAGGAACATTTTTTTTTCCAGTTTTTTGGGTGAATATTTAAATTTTAAACAATCCTATAGGAAACCAAGTAAAGTACTCATGTATCTATAAGTAACACAAAAGGGGAAAAAAGGTGTTTAACAAATGTAATGTATGATCCTATACTGGCTCTTGGATCAGGTAAAAATTGGTTTTGAAGGGCATTATTGGGACGATTGGCAAAATCTGAATATGAACTGTATATTCATATCAGATAATAGCACATCAGTATTAAATGCCAGCCGGGCTCAGTGGCTCAGCCTGTAATCCTGCACCTTGGGAGGCTGAGGTGAGTGGATTGCCTGAGCCAGCAGGTTCGAGACCCACCTGGGCAACTTGGCGAGACTTCATCTCTACAATAAATAGATAAATAAAAAATCAGCCGGGCGTGGTAGCACATGCCTGTAATTCCACCTACTCGGAAGGCTGAGGCCGAAGGATTGCCAGAGCCCAGCAGGTCGAGGCTGCGGTGGCCAGGAGCGACCACTGCACTCCAGTCTGGGTGACAGAGTGAGACTCCGACTCAAAAAAAAAAAAAAAAATGCCCTGAATTTGTTAATTATATTGTTGGTGCAAGAGAACAATCTTCTTAGAAAACATATGCTGAAGTTATTTGAGGTTAAATGGATATGATATTTGCAACATAGCTTTAAGTGGTTCCTAAAATAATTTGTTGAAATGATAAAGCAAATATGACAAAATGTTAACATTGAATCTTGGTAGGACTGTTGAAGTTCTTTGTACCATTCTTGCATTTTTTTCTGTAAATCTGAAATTATTTCAAA